TGTGCACGGACCTACTGATAGCGCTGTAGTTCTCAAAATTACCCAAATGCAAGAATTCCTCAAAAGCTGATAAATGGTAAATTCAATTTTTTTGATAAAGGGGCTTTGGCATGCAAAATTTTTCTCTCACCAAAAATGAGTCAATTATTTCCAGATATTTTATTGTTTTTTTTTTCTTTGCGCTCCCTTACAATTTGTTCATTGTGTTTCCTTGAATCATAAATTATTGCAGTGTGAGATGAGTGAATTGGCACTGACATCGTATTTGTCATGTTTAAAAGTTTTGTTTGATTTGGCGCATGATTTCCCCGAATGCCCGGATTCGATCTACGATCTTCACAGTATCATTCAAATGAATCCACATTTTTTCTCCGAAAAAGATGGACTTTTTGCGTAAGTTGGCATTTGCATTAAATCAGTTTTTGCTCTTTTCCATTATTTTCTAAATTGGTATTTTGTGAACAGCTAGCTATTATTACGGTTTATATGCTTTATAGTAAATTATGGCTGATTTTTATTCGTTAATAGAGCAACTTGTGTTGCGAGTTCGGATAGCCTAGCAATCTTTTTCTGTTATGACCAGGGCAAAATAACATAATTCATTGCATCTGTCGATGAGAATCATTTGTCGTCTATGTCTGGAACAGCTGCTGATTCGTAATCTGGCTCCCCGGCTGTGAAACTGGCAACTTTTCCTGTGGATTTGATTGGTATTGCGTCTCCAAGTGAACACCCTGGGGGGTCTTGACATTCGTTTTGCTTCCCCGTAGGGATCCGCGATGTTCAGTAATTCTTCGAAAACATTGACAAGGATTCAGTTATTGTCGAGATGCCCTTAGTTCGCCTTAAGCACTGCCTCTCCGTATAATTCAACGAGGTCTCACCGGCGAAGAGCGAATTAGTACCGGTGTTTTTAATTTACTTACCATCTTTTAATTTCTTCTTTTTGATCCTCACTCTATGCCTGCGCAAGGAGTTCAAAGCAAGTCCAAGTATTCTGGGAAGTAAAAGTTCTGAAATAGTTTATCAGGTGCTAGTTTTTGTGCGTTTTTCGCATCTATGCAATACAAAAACGCATATTGACAAGGAGTTGTCTGTACATGTATGTGTGAGTGTGCGCGCGTCATTACCGATTTCAATCTCGAGACCTATAAAAGCTACAGGGCTGAAACTTTGGGAATTTAATCCACATCCACATACGGGCCGACATTCCAAGAATGGGCGTTCTTATCTACGTGGTTCCCGCGTTTGGAGCCATCTGAGTTCTTGGCGAATAAGCTGCTAACTCGGGAAACTGAAAAGTTAGAACACTGGAATTTTGAGGGGATATTCCCGTCCACGTAGGTCTTAATGCACCTTTGCACCGGCAATTGGTGCGCTGGCCGTTTATTTTTTTTACCTTTGAATATTATCTTTTTTTTCTGTTCACATGGCTTGTGTGCGAAACACTTCAGTTGCGAAAGAGGCCCGTGTTTTAGGAACTGATCTTTGATAATCCACTAATTTTTTCTTTTTTTTTGCTTGAAAGAATACGAAAGCATTGAGGTTCATGCGGAATCGAACGTGAGACCTTTGCGACTTATGTATAAGTCACTTTCTAAATAAATATAGTATTGAATGGGCTAGAGTGCCCACAGTGGCTTAAAACTGTGCTCTCAAAATACTGGCTTGAATTAAGGCATAAACCGGTATCTTAGCAGATATGCCAGCAAAAGCGCAAAAATTCTCTATGCAAGGAAAAATTCAATTTTCTTCAATAAGGACGAATAGTAGGTGATGAACACAGGCAATACTAAGCTTTTGATCTAAGCTTCTATGCATGCTTGTCACATTCGAAGTGTTCAAACTCACTGTAAAATGCTTCGTGCTACTTTTGTTTATTTTATTTTTTTTTCGCTTCAGCACTTGGAAGAGTATCTGGGCAACGTGGAGCCCTGAGGAGATGGCATCGGCACTGCTAAAATTGTGGAATCCGCTTCGACCGCTCGGAAACTGTTTTACTACAGAAGCGCAGGTTTTACAGTAAAATAGATTTCAGTATTTATACGTTTTTTGCATCTGTGCAATGAGGGGTTGTCTGTGTATGTGTCTGCGTCTGTGTGTGCGTCCGTACCGATTTTTCATCTCGAGACCTATAAAAGCTACAGAGCCCAAACTTTAGGAACTTAATCTACGCCAATCCCCAAAATGGGCGCTCTTACCCACATGGTTCCTGCGTACGGGCCCGTGCGAATAAGTGGCTAACTCGGGAGCCTGAAGAGCTAGAAAGCTGAGGATTTAAGGGGATGTTTTCAGACAGTTCTGGTGGCCAGTTTTAGTTCTCTTAGCTAGGAGATCTGCCAGAAAAACAGTGCCCTTAGCGATAAAAACTGCAGGAAACTATTCAAAAAATGCATCTTCACATAGCTTTCGGTGCGCTGGCCATTTATTTGTTTTGTGATGCGCTGCGCTTGCACGAGGAGAATCACCGATGGACCTGGTGGAGATGGTTAGGCAAAATTTGGTAAAGTTGTGAGACTGCAATTCTATATTATCATGAGCTCCTCGTTGCTGGTTCAAGTAGTCTTGGTGATATGTTAATAGAAATGATGTTCCTTGGCTGGCGCATCGAATTCACCTAGTAGTTTTTTCATTGCCGCTCATCTACGGTCGAAAACTTCGACTGAAGTGTTGTGTTTCTAGCAGTTGTCCTCCATCCTCAGCAGGGGATTTTATTAAGACTTCTTTGTTAAGTTCTTTTTAGCCTCACTGATACTGAACGCCTAAACAGTGGAGGATTTACCAGGCAGATAAAACAGCAGTTAATTTCCAGTCTTCGGTAGGAATTTTAAAAAATTTAAAAGAATTTCAAGATTTTTTGGAAATCTTAAAATTTGGAAATGAGAAAATAAACGACTTAAAGACTGATTGAGTGTTTCAGTGCTTGATTGCTGATTTCAAGGAAATCGAGCAGCGCAAAAATGTGCAGCAAAATGACTGCAGTCATGAATTGAACAGCAGTGGTCGCAGGAAGAGGATGTCTCTCCATGAAATGCAACAAAGAATGAGGGTACCGCTTTTTGTTGTTTGTTAACTTGGAACGGAGCAAATAAATAGTGCTGCGCGGCAAGATAATCGGGCTTTTATGCGTTTTGTGCAGTCCTGTCCAACGGACACTTGCTGTTAAGAATGTTCATTGCTTTTATAGCTCGGTATGTGCAAAAAAACCGAAGTTTTGTCTGCTTGCTGAGCTACGAATTTTTTTTCCAGCGAAAATTTCACAAGCCGTTACGTGGAACGTAGTTGTCTGTAAAAGTAAAATTTAATTTTATACTTTAATGTTAGACTTTTGTAATTTTAATTTTAGATGATGTATGTTTATGTAAAAAGTAAGGGTTTAAAAGTAAGGGAATAAAAGGAAGGTGAATAAGATAAATGAAAATTTTGTCTTGTTTGGTTCTTAAACTGAAAATTTCCTATTTGACATGTCGTGTGTCCCTGCGTAAGATGGAGGCAGTCAAAAATGCTGAGTTTCAAATTTTAGAGCTGCTGCACATCGACAGGAAGCGGCATCCTAAATGTTCAACCTTCTGTCTTGTTCGGTTTTTGAGGCAGAAAATTCCTGTTAAAATCCTCACGTACCGTGTACGTGAGGTTAGGTTTATTCGGAAGTTGAATTCGAATTATGGAATCATATATGGGCAGAATACATCCTTTCTGAACCTCAGCTTTCTTGCTTTTTTGGTTCGCGAATTAATAATTTCCCCACCAAAAACTCACGTGAGCATGCGTGAAACAGACGTATTTGGGGGCTAAATTCGAGTGTCTACAGTTGTACATGTTTTGTACGCATCCTCCTAAAATTTTAGCTTCTTTAGCTTTTCTGGTTTCCGAATTACTGATTTCCTTATTCGAACTTTGGTACTGCTAAGGGATGAAACACAGACAGGCCTGCCTATATTACGCCCGATACTTGGCAAATTAACATGTCTTATATTTTTTTAATACATTTGCTGCTTAACAATCTTTTCTACCCCTCCCCCTCTCCCTCCCCGGTCCCACCCTTCACTTTTTTTGCATCCTCCCGATTCTGCCCATTTCAAATCTCACTGTTGCATGATTATTAACTTGGCCCATTTTGGTCAAAGAGTATTTTCATTACAATTTCATTTCAGCGCTGCAACTG